AAGATCATCGGAGGCGATGATGATTATGATGATGACGATGATGACGATGATGACGATGATGATGAGGATGTGGATCACGTTGCGTAATAACGTCCACGGGGACGGGGAGACTGTAAGACGGTTCCGACATTTTCATTGCGGCTGCTGCTGCATCTGGGCGTGCTGCATGCTGCCTAGAACGTTCTTGATCGCCGTCGTCTTGAGCAGCCTCTTGAGCATACCGCTCGAGCCACGGTGCTGGAGGCTCTTGTGCGTGGTGAGCGAGTTCTTGGTGCGGTACCTACGGTTGCAGAACTCGCATACGTAGAGGGTGTCCGATTGCTCGTGCTTATCCTGGAAATGACGCTTCAGGGAGTAGTAGCATGAGAAGTTGCGACGGCAGTACGGGCATTCCTGAGGCTCGTTTATACCGCCCGCCGTAGGCGGCGGCATCCGGTACATGGCAGAGGGAGGCGTCACCGGGGCTGGATGCATCCCGTTGCCCGTACCTGAAAACGTCCGTCTCGCGTCAGAAAATTTATTACGCCCACATTGAAGCACGAGAAACAACAAGTTTCTTTCGGTGGATCGATCGAGAGAGATTTTATTATTATATCGGTGATTCCACAATTAAAAAGAGATACTACTTCCTTTGAAAATTTTCCATTTCACTATTTCATTTCTCGTATAATCTTCTCTATATAATGCGACTTTTCTCCTATAGATAATTAGTTTAGCTTATATATTATGCTTCGATACGTGCACTATGGTCTCAACTGCTTTAAATACACGTTAGAATCGTGGCTATCGATTATCGATACGGTTATTGATAATTTTTAACGTATCGTTTATCGCGACTCACTTTTTACCCAAGTTTTCCAACTTATCGTTATTATTATAAGCGGCGTTAAAAATTGGATTCATCTCTTCTGTTCTGTAATTATCGACATTACAATAATTCTAATCATTCGCCTCGAGAATCACCGATGAAAGGAATCATCTCTCTCGATCTTTACGCATCTTCCAACGTAAGAACTAACGTTGTTCTCGCTCGAGTGTCCCTTGAGGACACTCCCCATATGTATATTTTTCGAACGTCCGAGGGGGAGAAGCGAGGGGAGGCAAGGAAAAGAATAAATCATCATAGTTTAAATAGGCGATCTCGTGTTAGTCGTGTCAAAGAAGTGGTGAGTGCAACAACGAATGGGTTCGATAATAATTAGTCGGGCACGCCTCGAACGTTCGATGCAGTTAAACAATTTAGGGCTTTCTCCTCCTTTCCCCATTCTCCTCGAGACGACCTCGGCTCGGTTTTAATCCCAACCCTGGGCAGCTGTCTCGGGATCAATTAAGGATTAAGCGCGGGTTGAACTCTTTCCTTCTCCCACTCGCGGGCCGATCGATAATATCGTGGATGGAATCGTAACCGTTATCCATGGGATATGGATCGTTAATTGACCGAGTCGTTGATTAGTCGAGTTGATTAGAGATGAAGAGGAACCAAAACCACCATGCCAGACCGCGATCGAGATTCGTTCGATTCCGTTCGGTTAGTCTTCCGAAAATGAAAGAGAGAGAGAGAGAGAGAAAAAAGAAGGAAAGAAAAGAAAACAGAGAGACGATTAGTAGTGAAACTCGACGCTTCAGAAGTGTTGCATCGCATCGTGCATAAATAAAACAAGCTGCTATCGTTTTCTCTCCTCCCTTGATGAAAATGTTGCGTGCGTGCGGGTTGATGATCGTGCTTTTATCGAGCTTTTGGTTAGTTGGGTCGAAAATTATTTCGAAAGAGAAAGAAGAAAATGAATCGAACGGGATACGAAGGGCATCATGCAGCGATGACAAAAGAATGAAGAGGATGATAATCGCGAGATTATAATTGTTCGGCTTCTTCGAAGAAAAGTAAAGAGGGAGGGAGAAGAAAAAAAAAAAGAAATCTTCAAAATAGTTTCAAAAACTGATCGACGATCGATCCACGATCGAGCTTCGAAAGCGTGACATTCCGTGTTAGGCAACGAAGCTGTAAAAGTGAGCATTAAGTGAGCAAGTGTACAAAATTCGGCATGCACATACAAAATCGAACATCAAGATGCTACGACAGAAATTAAGGTACACAAATAGAAAGGGGAGGGGAAAAAAGAAAACCTAAAACAGGAGAAATAAGATTGAAACAAACGATCACATTAACACGTTTACCAAAACAGAGTTACCAAGTCACAACACGTACAAAATAATAATAATAATAATAATAATAATAATAAAGAAACGAAAAGAAATTAAAAGGAACCAAGGAGGTAAGGGGTGTGTTAGTAAGGGACAACCTGAAGCGTAATTATACCCTGGAGTACATGGTCTTTCGATTTTGGCGAGACTCTAAGAAAGAAAACTCGACCTATATAATATAAATAATAACCCCATTGAAACACGTACGATCGGTCAATTGAACGATTTTTGTTCGATCTCGTGCCCATCATCATCTCGTGCCTTCTTCATTCGTCGCCGCGAAGGATCTCGACTCGAATCTCTCTCGAAGCCGAGTCGATCCCGAGACACGGGGGGATACATAACGGAGCCGCGAGTACCGGAAGAATTCGATCGGCGACCA